TGGGGCCAAATCCCACAAAGAGCAGTTGGAGGGCCTGGGTCCGTTTAGCCTAAAGAAGAGAGGGCTGAGGGGAGACACGATGGCAGTCTTCAAAGACTTGAAGGGCTGTGCAAGAAAGAAGGTATGGATTTATTCTCCTCAGGTCATAAGGGTAGGACAAGAACCAATGGGTGGAGGCCTTATAAAGGGAGCCAAACTTGAACTCAGGAGGAATTTCCTTGCACGAGAGTTACTGAATGGCCTGCCTCCATCACTGGAGGTTTTCAAGCCAAAATTGGACAGCCCTTTGTCTGGGATGGTCTGAGGATTCCTATCCTGGGCAGGGGATTGGACTAGAAGACCTCCAAGGTCTCACTCTAGGATTCTGTGATTCTTTTGCTGCTGACATTTACTAAAGGCAAGCAAACACAAGATCTTGGCCACGCGAATATTCCTAGGTGGTTTGTTATTTCCTTTGAATGAAACATGGTTGGTGCTAAGGCTTGTTTGAGTTTCTGTGTCCATCAGTGGTCTTTGCACTGAGTATTTTTCTTACTGTAATTTAACCAAACTAGTAACTGAGCAGATAGCTCTTTCCATGTTGGTGATGACAGATCCTAACTTCCAATCTTCCTAACTTCACAAAAAATGCTCCCAGGCTTCCAGTATCAGGCACCATTATTTTTGTTGGTCATTTGACCTCTTGATTTCGTCCAGATGGTGGAGAAGTTAGGTGGGATATTGTAAATCTGCTGAGTAGTGAAGAAAACAAGATATTTCAGCTTAAAGAACTATAGAAACATGGTGGAGGAGACAGATCTTGAAATATGGCCAAAGAAGGATTCCTGGTTGGCCAAACACACCTGCAGTCCCCAGCTGCTAGTTCTGATCCTCAGCTTTCAATGCTGTGTTTCATGTAAAGGGACTTTGTTGTGGAGAGCTTGGCAGCTCTCACACCCTGGTCCCAAGATGAAATATGCTTCTGTAGGATAAGCAGCTTTCCGGTGATTCTTATTTACCTACTCTCTTTCCTTCAGGTTCCCCTCAAAGACTTTCTAGAACAAGGACAAGGCGTGAGGAGGCCAGCAGGATGTCTGGCCTGCTCTGGCCTGATGTGTCTCAATTGTAGCTGGCCCCCTCCTACGAAGATTTGCACCACCACTCCAGTGATTGATCTCTGGGAGCAGGTTTTCTCAACTGCTCTGCCTCAGTTCAGAAGCAGAAGCTCTTATTGTGGAAATCCCCATTTTTTCTCCCCAGCATGTCGGAAACCTGGTCTCAGCAGCCCCCACCCCCCCAGCAGCCCCCGCATCATGGTGCCACGGCTGCCCTCCCAGAGCACCCCATCCCGCCAAATGCGGTCACTGAGAATCCTTTGGGCTGTGCTGTCTATGGCATTCTCCTCCAGCCAGAGCCCAGTGGGCTGCAGCATCACACTCCTATCTCCGCCAGCGGTGGAGGGGAGCCCTCTCCCAAATGTGGGGTGTGTGGGCATGATCTGTCACACCTCTCCAACCCTCAGGAGCACCAGTGCCTACAAGGAGGCCATGACCGCTCCTTCCAGTGCACTCAGTGCCTGAAGATTTTTCATCAAGCCACAGACCTCCTGGAGCATCAGTGCCTGCAAGTAGAACAGAAGCCCTTTGTCTGTGGCGTCTGCAAAATGGGTTTCTCCCTGCTCACCTCACTGGCTCAGCACCACAGCGTCCATAACGGCAACACAGCTGTCAAATGCTCCATCTGCGAAAAGACCTACAAGGCAGCCGCGGCCGCTGCAGTGGCAGCTCCTGAGGACCCCCCCCCGCCACAGCAGCCAGCGGCCCTCAACCGGACTCCCGTGGAGAAGCCATACAGCTGCTCCATCTGCCAGAAGCCCTTCAAGCACCTCTCGGAACTGTCGCGGCACGAGCGGGTGCACACTGGGGAGAAGCCCTACAAGTGCAGCCTCTGCGACAAGAGCTTCAGCCAGTCCTCGCACCTGGTGCACCACAAGCGCACACACAGTGCCGAGCGGCCCTACAAGTGCACCGTGTGTGAGAAGGCCTTCAAACACCGCTCCCACCTGGTGCGCCACATGTATGCCCACTCAGGCGAGGCCCACCTCTTCCGCTGCAATGTCTGCGAGTTGCACTTCAAAGAGTCCTCAGAACTGCTGCAGCACCCCTGCACACCCAGCAGCGAGCGGCCTTTCCGCTGCGCGGCTTGCCACAAGACCTTCCGGCGGCCTTCAGATCTCCGGCAGCATGAGCGCACCCACAGCACGGAGCGCCCCTTTCAGTGCGACCTCTGCCAGATGAGCTTCAAGCAACAGTATGCACTCATGCGACACCGCCGCACCCACAAGGCTGTGGGCCCGGCCCCTTCTGCGGAACAGGAGACTGCGCCGCCGGCTTTCAAGTGCTCCTTATGCGAGAAAGGCTTTGTGCAGCCCGCCCACTTGTTGTATCACCAGCACGTCCACGGCATTGAGAACCTCTTCAAGTGCAACGCCTGCCAGAAGGGCTTCAGCCAGTCTTCAGAGCTGTTGCGCCACCGCTGTGTCCAGAGCGCTGAGCGGCCTTTCAAATGCACCGCCTGCAGCAAGGCCTACAAGCGGGCCTCTGCCTTGCAGAAGCACCAGTTGGCCGCGCACTGTGCTGAGAAGCCCCTCCGCTGCACCTTGTGCGAGCGGCGCTTCTTCTCTTCCTCGGAGTTTGTGCAGCACCGCTGTGATCCTGCCCGCGAACGGCCCCTGAAGTGTCCGGACTGCCAGAAGCGCTTCAAGTATGCCTCTGACCTGCAGCGCCACCGGCGCGTCCACACGGGGGAAAAGCCGTACAAATGCCCCTCGTGCGAGAAGGCCTTCAAGCAGCGGGAACACCTGAACAAGCACCATGGGGTTCACACACGAGAGCAGCACTACAAGTGTATGTGGTGTGGTGAGCGCTTCCTGGACCTGGGCTTGCTGCAGGAGCACAGCGCGCAGCATACCTCTACAGAGGGCACTTATGCAGTGGCTCCCTGCCTGCCCTGAGCAGTTTTCTGCCGAGCACAGTGCCCGTGCCGTTCTAGGGCTGGTCTCGGTCTGCCAGAAGAGCGCCCTCCATTGTGCAGACCCGACATGGAGTAAAATTAGCCACAGGAGTTAGGGAGCTGTGCAGTGCCAAGTCTGAGTTGGCCCTGGCTTGCTTGGCCACGGATGGAAAAACCTGCTCTCTGAGCCTCCCAGCTGCTGGCCACCTCCTGCCATGATTCCATGGCGTTTGCAGAGCAAAAGGCTCTCTCCAAAATCAAGCCTTTGCTGCCTGTGAATGAGGGAGCAGGACTCTGGCAAGAGCGGCTAAGAAGGGGGCTGTGCAAAAGGGCTCGGAAGGCATGCATGCCAGGCTGAAATGCCTCCTCTTGCTCATTGCCCATACGAGATGTTCCAGCAGGCAGGCCTTCTGTGGTGGTTTTGGCTTCAGTAGTCCACCACCATTGGGACTGGATTTCCTCCACTCCAGCCGTTGGAAAAGGCAGCAGGAAGGGCATGGAGAAAAACTCGATTTATCTATTTAAACATATTATAAAGCTAGAGCAGACCCCCAGCCCCCTCCCTCCCTCCCTCCCTCCCTCCACAGTGGTATAAATAGACAGGCTTCTCTGTGTAACTTCTGAGAAATGTAAACATTCAAGACAGGGTTCTTACTGACATGCAACTAAAGAGCATGGGCAGAAAAAATGAATTAAAACTGCACTGCTGGATCTGCCTGGAGTTGTGATCTTTTGGAACCCCATGTGCTAAAGGGGCACCGTTGCCAATAAGATAAGCCAGAGTTGGAATATTTGAGCTTTTGCACATGCCTTCATCTGGGACCACTGTGTGTGGGAGAAGTGCATGTGTGTGCATGTACATATGTATGAGATGTGTAGAAACCCCCTACTGCATTAAATTAGAAGATTGCTGTGAACTGGCAGTGGGGTCACTATGAAAAGGCAGGTGGTGCCACCTTTTTTGCCCGGGGTTGGGGTGGCAGCTCTCTCCTGGATTGATTCCACCAGCTGCATCACGTTTGGAGGAGGACAGAAGTGTAGTCCGGTTGGGGGGGCTGAGCAAGGAGAACTGCTGATTTCTCTCCATGCCTCCTTGCGGGTCCTGGGGCTTTCCGTGGCATCCCAGCAGTGCAGGGGTGGCTTTGGGGGAGTTTTCTTTCAGGGATTACTTTTTAAATGCCATGATTAACCACCTTGTAGCTCAGCTGGATGTCAGTTTTACAGTCCACAAAAGCTGTGACAAGTCCCCTCATTCTGATCTTGCCATACTTTGAATTCATCAGTCTTGCGAAGGCAGGCCTTCCTTTGTCCCAGGGGACGAGGCTCCAGCCCCGCTTCCCTCTGCAGTGCGGGGGGGGGGGGGGGGGC